AGAGTTAAGCCACATGCTCTGAGGCCCTTTAGCTTGACAAAGACCCTGAACCTTGGCTATGGTCTGGCCTTTGGGGCTAGAGCCCACCCTGCCTGTATGGACTGTGGCTGAGAGACTGAGGCACCTGTTCAATGTCACAGTAAGTTAGTGACAGGACAGGCCTGTGTTCACCCTAATGTCCTGAAGACAGCAATGGGATGACAGGGGTGTACATGCTAGCCCCCAGCCATCCACTGTTAGATGCTTTAGACTGAAGCAGTGAAGCAGTGGGTCTTGTCATCGGTGTGTCTCCACAACCCCATTCTGCCATTGCATCCTGCAGGCTCTGGTGCTCGTTACAGAGGAACACCCTGAGCACCCATGTGGAGTGGCAGGCGAGGGGAGATGATGGATTATATTTAGAGCTCACAGTCTGTGAAGAATGTACGATGGGCTTCCTCAAGGCTTTATCTTAATTATCTTTGGCCCCTGGCCCTATCAGCCTTGATACCCAGAACTGAGTCACAGGGCTTCCCTCCATGTTCTGAGATAATTTGGCAACTTTACTCAGTCATACTTGCTTATCTGACCTGATGTGGCCTCTCAAGGTGGAGATGAGCAGGGAGTGGTCTCTGGAGCCTGGATCAAGGAATGGGGGTAGGCAGGGCTATAGTAGGTCTGTGCCTTGGCTACAGGCATAATCCATAGTTTCACACCTAGGCAAGCCCTATCAGAAGGTAGATGTTACATACTCCCTACAGGTCTGGCTTGGGCCAAATTGTGGTTGCAGCTTGATACCTAATGGTATTCCAGAGCAATAGATCTTTATCTTTCCTGGTTTGGCAAAGGAGTTCATGGTCTGGGAGGTTTGGATTGTAGGAGGCTCTCACCTCCAGTAAACTCTTCAAATCAGGGTTAGGGTTAAAATTGAAGATAAGGGGATTAGAGTTCAGTACCTCATTCTGGCAGTACTTCAGGACCAGAGCAACTGGGGGATTCACTACAGGCAGGACCCCATGCACTGGGGAATTAGGGGGTGACAGCGGTTGGGGAGTGGGCTTTTAACACCAAGGAGACCCTGAAGGGTGTTGTGAGGGGCTTTATTTTGAAGTCAGATAGTTGTTTGATGGTCTAGAAGAAGCTAGGGGGTTGAAGATATCCCTGGTCCCAGTGGGCCATCCACCTGGCCCAGGTTCCCCACTGTGCCCAGTCCTCTGGGGATAGATTCAAAGCCCCCATTCTCCTGAGTCATTTACCAGATCTGACCATTCTGTGATTATATCAGTCCTCAGCAGGAAGGTAGATAAGGGGAGATAATGCATTAGATTTAGACACCCAGCCCCCCCACCCCCGGAGCAGTAGTAGACACCACACAGGGGAGGTCCTTGAGCCTTGGGTATTGGCCCTCAGATCCAGGGGTAACTGGGTGTTGAGTAAGGCTGGGGGTGGAGGGATCTGAGAAAGGGCCTGATTCGAGTTCTGAAGGGCACAGGGAGAAGAGGGCTAGTAATAAGCTGCACAGACATTGATGGGGCCCCTACTGTGTGTAAACTGGCACTGGAGGGGCAGCAGAAGAGCAGATGAGGTGGGGCTCCCACTCACCCTCCGACCCCCCCCCCCCCCCGTGAGACCCCTGGCTGCCCAGGTCAAGAGTCCTGGCTATGAGGCTATCAGTCCCAGCCCTCTGCCCCTTCCAATTTACCAAGGGCCCAGGGAGACTAAACACCACAACTCTCTCACCAGCATTTATATACCTCAACTTTATTTTTAGTAGCAGGTGCTGTTGTATCATTTACAGAAATATTTCCTCAGGCATACCCCTACCCCCATTGCCCACCCGCAGTCTTGTCAGTTAGCTCAGAGCCAGCAAACTCCAACCCCACCCTGGCTATAAATTGTTTCTGAGGCTCCTCCAATTCCATTTCTTGCAGCTCTAACCAGGTTTCACTGAGAAGATGGAGTCTCACAGGTTGCTCTTGACCCTTTTACAGGATTTCCATCCTTCTATGGATATGACAACACTCTGTAAGGCTTCCTTGAACTGTGAGAAATTACTTTTCTCAGTAGTACAGTTCTTGGGTGATTCTGCTGGCTAAATAAGAAATACATATATAAGTCATCTTTTTAGGAGAAAAAAAATAAACTCTGTTCTACCAGCCACAAGGGTTCTGTAAACCCTCCGGCCCCTGGGAGATAATGGGCAGGCCCTTAAAGGGGGCAGTAGAGGCTGTCTGGTGGTAATGGAGCACAGGGTATGAGAACCATCTGTAGCCTTGGGGAAGAGCAGCAAAGTGTGGGCAGGTCCCATGGCTGCCCCGGACAAGCAGGGTAAGGGCACACAGGGGATGTGTAAGCAGGGGGCCAAACATAGAGGAACACTTCAGTCATTTCCCAAGCACATGCCCCCCTACACCACTGCCCATCTCCACATAGTGGCCTCCTAGTGGGGCTCCTTAGCCCTGAAGGAATCCCAGGAGCAGGGCAAACCAGAACTTCCTGGGACTGGCCACCCAACCAAGGTTGGCTCTGAGCAGCCCTTCCCAACCAGCCCTGCTCTGACCTGTCTCAGACCTGCTCCATGCTGTGCATAGGGACTTGGCAGAGGGCAGAGCAGAAACTTCTGAAAAAACCCCGAAATCCCCACTCTTCTAAGCCCCAGCCCCTGTCAGTGAGTGCATTTCTTTTGGATCAGAAAGTAGTACCTGAGGCCTCACATGTGGCAAGTGGAGGCCATAAGAAGTCCTTTGTCCCATTGGGCCCCTGGCTGTAGTGGCATGAGGTTTCCCTAAGAGCAAACAGCAACTTACTTCCAGCTTTGGGCAGATTCTGGTGAGTTCTTTCATGTCCTTATAAACTTTTCTTATGTGATGATCACGCTCGTTGTATTTCATAAGTTCCTTCAAGGTAGAGATGAAGACCTTTGTAAACTCCCCATAGCAGGGCTCCTAAAACAAGGTTAGGGGTGCTGGGATGATGGTGGTATACAGCAGAGCACAAGTTGAACCCCATTATCATCCATCCCTGGTCACCCTGGCTAGGAGCCCTGAACTCAAATTCAGGCCCTAGTCTGATTGTCCCACAGGACACCAGGTGTGCAGTGTCTGGTCTCTCCCTAGGCCCAGGGCTGATCTAGGGTGGCGATCAGAGAGCCTGGGAAAGCCTAGAAACTGTCCACTCATTCATCTGTTGGCAGAGCTGGAGGCCCCAAACTCAAATTCAGCTGTCTCCCCAGATTTCTCATTCTGGTATCTTTTGTTCTTATCTTTGTCCTGGGTGCCAACGGGTGTGATGACCCCTCTCAAATGTGGCCAGAAAGGTCCATGGGAAGACTGCACCTTACCTCACTGGTGTTCTGGGGCCTTTTGAAGGAACCCTGGAAGAAGGAGAAGCTGGTCAGAAACACACAGGGCCTCTAAGAGCAAAGTGATGTTTGATGAAGACCCAGACTTACATTGTATATAATGTTGTCAGCCGAAAGTTCTTTCTGAATTTCAGCACAGACTGCGGTGTGATTGTCGTGGACAGATGCGCTGACTGTCTTCATTGAGGCAAAATGGTTTTCTAATCCCCAGAGTGCACAAGCCAGGAGCATATACAGGTACATGGTATGACTTGAGGGTAGCTCCAAGCCGATCTGAGCCCTGGGTTTGGCTCCACATTTCTGTGGAGAGGGGTACCTATATATGTGAGTCTAAGGAAATGCTAAATCTCTTATCAGTCATCACTGGCTTACGTGGAAGACAGAGAGGACCTTATCAGTGGGCAAGATATGCTTTTCATGCATTTTCTATGACCACAGCACACTTTATGGATTCTTGTTGTTGCTGAAAATCAGTCTTGGTCTAAGAATTTTTATTTGTAATCACATCTAGAGTCATGACCCTTCTTTGCCTGCCTGTTAGAACAGGTCTTTGGTCAGGACTGGTGCTGCCTGCAGGTGCAGGCTAGAGCAGAGAGAGTAGGTGGTGTGGAGAGAAAGCCAGTCGGGGGAACAGCTGCACCAAGCCAGCTTCCTCAGGCCCATCTGTCAAAGAGAAGGCTGGCCTTGCTGTCCACCTGACACTTGAGGACACACCCACTTCCTCATTGTCTGCAGGAGGGACACAAGAAAATGGGTTCAGGAGCGCGGCCTCCAACCGGGCTGGCAAAGGGAAGAGAAGAGCACTGCTCCTTCTTGGCCTGAAGGCCTTGGACTTTAGGGAAGGGCACCTGATTAGATGCAAAACTTCATGTAAAAACAAATGCCAGCTTAGAAAAATGCCACAGTAGAGTCATGTACTAACAAATTCTAAATTTACATTCTGATTTTCATAGATTAAGGTCACCCATTTGGGGGAAAGTTTGGTAAATATGCTTAGCTCTGACCTCTGTGGTTTGTTGTTGTTGTTGTTGTTTGTTGTTGGTTTTAATGTTTGTTTTTTTTTTGTTGTTGTTTTTTAACAGCTAGTCTATCTACTGGTTCACCTTAGGAGTGGTTGAAGACCTGAGTATGAGGGCTTAGTTGTAGTCACGGGGCCCAGGGGCATAAGGGTTTTGCCTCTCTCAAGGGCAGGCCCATTCAGCTAGTGGCCACCCAAGCCCCAAGAACCCCCAAGCCTTCTCAAGAAGTATAAAGTCCTTTTTCTGGAGCAGAGTGTCCACTGACCAGGTTCCTCAGACTTCCAAATGAACCTGAAAACCTTGTCTTGCATTGGAACCCCTTGAGCATCCAAGGAAGCATATCTAGTGTGCAGAATGTAGCACCCAGGCCAACTCTCACCTCCCTTCTGCTCTGACAGTGTCGCCCCTCAGGCCCCCCCTAACCCTGCAGCTCCTCCCATCCTTGCCCCGTGGGGGAGGAGAACACCGTCAGCATTCGCTCATGCTTGAAAATAAACTAGAAATTGCACAAATAAGAAGAGGCTTTTAATTTATTATTATTGTAAAACACTTTGAATAAATATAGAGTATGATCTTAAATAAATAAATAAATAAATATTAAAATACATAAATATATAAATAAATATTACTGATCCCTGCCAATGTAAAACATTGCCCGCTCCCCATACCAAGCCTGTATCGGGCAGCATGTCTCAGCACAAGTCTATGCCCTGCCCCACCCCACCCCCATGGCCACAGCCCCCACTATGGTCCCTCCAAGGTGAAGATCCTGAGTTTCAGCAATCTGTAGGTTCGAGGGCGGTGAGTCGTGAGGTGTGCTCTCAGGGCTGTCTCCTGGCTGCACTGGCCTGCCTCACTTCTAGGCTGTCTTCCAGCAGTCAAAGGGGATGTTAAACAGAAATTCCTTCAGATTCTCCTTGAAATTTTTGAAGGTGATATTCTGGGTTTCACAGGGAGTTTCCTTAAAAAAAAAAAAAAGGAAAGAAAGAAAGAAAAAGAAAATTGAGTCCAGGTATGAATGAGTAATGTGAGCAAAGTACCAGTGTGTTTCTGCAATGCCTGTTAAAACCCATTCTGGACCCACATCCTGACCTGGATCAGGTGACAGGTTGCCACCAGGTGTCACCCACAGAGTGCACAATTCCTCCAGTCGTAGCCAGGGCCAAGCACCTGACAAATTGCCTTTTTGTTCAGAGGCCAGCTCCAGCGACCCAGAAGGGGCAGGCAGCAGTCAAGGCCACGGACCTCTCTCCTCACAGGAAAGGACTGTTTGGGGCATTTGTCCAATCTATATATGACCCCCTCCTTACTCCCATGCAATTTAGGAACCTCACAAGAGGCTGAGGAAGTCCTGTTAGGAGGTAGCATTTGGGCCCAGGAATGTATCCTGAACCTTAGGTGGGCCCTGAATTTCCTTGAGTTTGCCTCACTGCTGAGCCCATTAATGATAATAAGAGCGTAAGCATACTCCCACTAGGGAGTATGTAGGCTCCCAGCTCCATGGCCTTAACTCCTAGAGATAAAAATAGGCAGGGCTGTTGGCTCTCTGAAGGGGCAAATCATTACAAATCTGTTGACACAGAAACCCTGTGGGGTCTTCATCAGCTACAGTGGAAGGCCCCTCCTTTTATCCAGTCTTCAACCCTCCTAGGCCAAAACCTTCTAGCTTGGGACCCTGACATGGGCACTCACCGGTGTAAGGGGACAGTGCTGCTTGTAATGGTTGGCCATCATTCTCAGGGGCTGCTTGAGGCTGAGGAGACTACCCCGTAGGCCCTGCTCATACAGCTTTAGGTGGGTCTGCAGGCATTTCGGCTCCTGTGGGAAATGTCCATTCGTTGGTGAGTAGTGGCCAAGTGCCCTCTGGTGGGCACATGACACCCTCCTCATCACTCTTTCCTGTTCTCAGCCCTGTCCCTCAAGAGTAGGGTTTGGGAGGGGCACAGGATGATGCTGGGTCTAGTCATACATACTGCTTTGTTCATGCAAACATGTATCTTCACCATTCAGCTCAGGCCACCCTCATCAGCACAGCCACATTCCCTGGCATCTCAAGAGGGTCCCAGTCCCCAGGAAAGCAGGTTGCTATCCCCCCACCAATTGGGCAGAAAGTAGCCCAATTTAGACCTGCTGTGTGATCAAGGCTTGATTCTGAAATACCTCTGCGCCTCTCTGTAGTCAGCACTCTTGTCTCCACAGGGCTTGGTCTCAAAGTAACTCCTGCTTCCCCACCGGTCCCCTGGTGACCCCCACCCCCTTGAATGCTAGGTCTGTCCGTGGCTTCTCAGCTAATGAAGGAGTTTACATGACTGCCACAGAGGCAAGGCCACTGGTTTCCTGAGCACCCCTCCTTCTGGTACCCAGGTGGCTGAGGAGAATGCGGACCCTGTGAAAGTCCATCTAAAATGAGCTTATCCCCACCCCCAAGGCAGAGGCCTCTGGGAAGGTGTCTCAGAGAGAAGTATCTTACCTCAGGGTCAAACCTTTCAGAGACAACTTCGACTGCTTCATTCTGTAGAAAAGGAAAATACCGTGTTACCAAGCTGACAGGGCCAGCCTAGGCCAGTGAGGCGACTCAGACACGGCCCACACTCCCTTCCTCACTCACCATCACAGCAGTTGCTTCACTACTGTCGTTCAGAAGGCACTGGGCCTCCTTGATGGCTTCCACGTGCTGCCAGGGCCGAGTGACAGAGCTGGGTGAGCTGGTGGGTGCAGAGATGCTGCAGACCACAGTGCCCAGGAAAAGCAGGTTCTGCAGCCACATCCTCCTGAGGACTTTAGCCTTTCTCTCTGAGCACTGGGCTCACTGGCAAAAGAGCCCTTATATACACAGTTAGAGGAAATGATTAATGGTGACCACAAAACGCCAGGGAGGCGGGGGAACTACCTGACCTGTGGAATCTCCTGGCCCTTATCACACATGGGAACGGTGAGCCTTTCCTCCAGGTGGTCAGGCTCAGGGGTTTTTGTTAATAAGCCCTTCCAAGAATTGGCAGCGCATCCGCCTGCCTCCTTAAGCACTCTCCAGCCCTCCCTGGCTAGTCTGCCCAATGAGGCTGCCCCCTCCCTCTGAGGGGCCTCTGGGCACAGCTTTGACTTCCTGGCCTGGAGTGGCCAGGGCGGGGCCTGGGAGACACTGGATCGAGCGCCTACACCCAGGCTCCCCACCCTGCCTCTAATCCCAAGAAGCCTCCTGGCTGACTGTGCCCACCCTGGGCCCATTCCAATACCAGCCTCTCCTTCTCCTCCTAGATCCCTCTCTTCTGGCCACAGTGAAAGATCTGAGTGGGGGAAGACCCTCACAGGCCTACACCACAGTCCACCTAAGCAGATTCCAGCCAAATGGCATAGTCCTGTGCTCCAGAGCAGGATCCAAAGCCTCCAGCAAGGTCTGCCCACCCATGGACCTCTGCCTCATAGCCCGCTGTGAACAGAGAGAATGGCATGTGTGTGCGCATCATGTCCAGCCAGCAAGATTGCAGAGCATTCCTTCATGGTAAGATCCCATCTGACAGCAACAATCCTGGTTTTCAAAGCTGTGTTTAACCCCCAAGCTGCAGAGATCACCTGGGGTGGGTGAGGGCCCTGGGTTCAAATTTTGACTCCAGTACCACCTTGCTGTGTGACCCTTCCCTCTGAGCTATATGAGCCTCACCTCCCTCTGCAGACCAGACTGCCCTTCTTAGACGCTGCGCTCCTTCGTAGAGCCCCTGGAAGGTGCCAGGAGCTTCAGGGAACAATGGTTTCTCAAACAAGATCTTCCAGGCATAATTTTTTTTACATGGCCACTGCCCTAGCTCACCTCCAGCTCCAGAGGCCTTTCTGAGGAACAGGAACTGTTTCTGAAAAAGCCAGTCTCTTGAGAGGCTTGAGGGGCTGACAAGTGTTTGCTTTTCACATTGGAGTTTGGAGAGGACAGCACGAGTTTGTGCTTGCTGCCCCGTGCTGTGAGTTTCTTGGCCACAGGAGTATGGGTGCACACGTGTGCATTTCTGAGTGTCTGTATGTCAGTATGATTGGATGTGTCTGTACTTCCAAGTGTGCTGGGCAGGGGTGTTTTATACGAGGTGCATCCATGTGAGTCCCCATGCTTCTGCAGGTGCCCTCTGATATGGGAGAAGGTCCCCACACTGGGTATGATGTTTTGGGGCCCCAGATTCAGTCTGGATGGATGGAGTGATGACATTCTGCTGGACTCAAGTAGACAGGCCTCTAGAGCAGGTAGAAATTAGGGTCTAAGTACTGTGGCCTGAGCCTGCAGCCCTGGCAGCTTTCACTATAGGGCAGAAATGTCACTGCCCTTGCATACCTTAGTATGCATACCTTAGTCCTCCAGACCTAGCTGGGGCCCCTGCCAGGATCTGGGACCCAACATGAGGCCAGCCCTGCCCTTCTGAGCCTGGATGTATCATGTCCAGCCCTGGTGCTTCCCCGTTTTCCATGAGGACTCTGCTCAGCCCCTTATAAGAAGCGCTTAGGAGGCACCAGAGTAGTTTAGGACACTAGAGGCAGATGCCACACAGAGTGGAGGTCTGTGTCAGACCATGCTCTGGAACCTGGGCGGTGGAGAGTGGGAGCCACAGTGAGTAGCTAAGTGAGTAGTCAGGGAGGCATAGGGCTGGTGTGGTCCCTCTGAGATGGAAGACCACTTTCCTTTTAGAAATGAGTCGTCACAGCTCAGACAGTTAGTCAGCAAATTTTTCCAATCTGTACTAGGCTCTGTGCTGGGGAGGAGGTGGATGGGACCCTCCCACTGGCCCTCACTTCTGGCCCTGGAGGCTCTCAGCATGTTAGAGAGAGCAGTGGATTCTCTCACTGTGTAGATCCAAGGAGGGATGGGGGAAAGAAGTTCAGAGCTGAGGGATCCCAAGGAAATGCTTTTCCCAACTTGAGGATCCATGGGGACCAAAGAGCTTCCCCAGAGAATGCTGCCTCCCAGCACAAGCTGAAAGGGGAGGTAACGTCAGGTGGGCAAGTCACACTGTGGGAGGGATGGAGAGGACTGGCTAGAGGAAGAGTGTTTGGGGAATGGAGAGACAGCAAGTTTCAGGAGCAGGTATGGTAAAGAGGAGGCAGCTTCCAGAGAGACTGAGGAGGTAGAAGTTTATAGGACTAGATGATATAATGGAGTAATTCAGTCATTCATTCATTTTTATTGAGTGCCTACTAGGTTCCCAGCAGGGGAAGAGGATACAAGGATGATGGAAAACCAATAGGGCCCTGCCTTTATGGAATTTGTAGCCTTATGGATGGGGGAGCAAGATTAATCTACTCAACACCCTCTCTAGAGAGTGCTTTTGAATATAAGTAAGAAGAGTTAGAACCACTGTCCAGGTATCTAACATGGGGACCCAGGGATGAAGGAGCAGGTTTACAGTGTCTGTGGACCTACAGGAAGTTTCAGCTGTTTGGAGGCTGCTTGTGCAGAAGACAGATCTGCCTGTGAGTGGTTCCTGTCCATGCAACAACTAAGGCCACAGAGGGTTAGTCAGGAAGAAGCGCTGAAGGCCAGCACAGCAGTTTTTAAGGGTTAGGGACATATTAGAAATGTGAGAGACTGACCAGTGGCCAGGGCTCTGGTAGAGCAGGAAAGGAGGAAAATCAGGAGCCATAGGAGAGGTCCATGCCAGCAGCGGGCCTACTGGTCCCAAAGTCACCATGGGAAGGACAGAGTTCCTGGGTCTGGCCATGAGGTTCGTGGGTAGCCACACATCTTGTTTTTTTGGAGAGATGACATCAAGGCTGAGGCCATGACACGGGCAGGCATTCCTAGATTGCACCGCATGGAAAGTGGCAGCGATAACATCAAGCGAGTGTGCTGACTCAGGAGCCCCAGACGGAACAGTAGGAGGGTTGGGGCGGGGACCAGTGATGGACAGTGTGACTCTTTTTTGGCCCCTTCCCACAGGGCCAGGAGAAAACCCTCTGGAAGGGGTTTCCAGTGAGCATCCTCCCACAGGCTCTGGAGGAAATGGGGTGTGGCCACCCTGGGCTCCGTATCACAGAGGAAGTTACCACGGCGGGAAGGAAACAGGCCTCCTTGTGCTTCATGTTCCATGGAACCCCTACACAGGCATCTCAGCTGATCGCATACTCCCTAAGCCTGCCAACCCATAGTGTGGGGGCCCGGGAGACCAGAGGCCCACCCAGGCCACGTAGTCTGTGATGGTGGAGACAGAGATTGAACCCTTATCTGTTCCTGCTCCCCTGCTGTTTCTGTTGCTATCTCAGGGATCAGAATGCCAGGAAATGCTGGTCGCCTGGCTAGACCAGATATGTGAGATGTTCCCCGTTAGGGCAGCTTAAAAGGAGACTCCTCCAAGTGTTGTCAGTGAAGCCAGAGTGGCCCATGAATGTCCCAGGGAAGCCCTGACTGCCAAGGGCAGAATTTCCCCAATAGAGACTCCTGCCCAGGCATCTCTATGTTTCAGGTTTGGGCTCTCCACCGCCGATCCCTGGGTAGCCCAAGGAAGTCCCTCCTCCCTGAGCCTTGGGTCACTCATCTCTACAATGGGTTTAATTATTGCTGCCTCACAGAGGAACAACAAGAGGAAACTTTTGCCTGTCCTTTGTGGGAGAAACCTCCCAGGAAGGAGGTAGTGCTTCAACATTTCTTCTCTTTCCTTCTCTTTAGGCTTCTGAAGCCTAAATTAGGAAGAAGACTCAGCCTTGCTGGAATTATCAGGGACAGATGCCCCTTGCCCAGCCATAGCCCCTGACAGGATCTTTCTGGACAGATGCAGTGAGGTAGAAAGCCCAGCCTCCACCCAGATTCAGAGCTTACAGGGTCTTGGCATTGTACTTAAGAGTCCCTGGTGCAGGGACAGCACCAGGAGTCACTCATTTTTCCCTGATAAGGGATCCTTGGTCACTCCAGGCCACACCAGACACACCAAGCAACATACTTTGGCCTTTGTGGTCACAGCCACAAAGCAGCTGTGAAGTCACAGCTCCAGGCAGATCCATCCTGCATTTCCTCTGTCTATGTCCCTAGAGGTATACCTCAAAAAACCAAGTCTTTTTTGGGTGTACCCAGTCCCTGGCACTGGTGAATCCTGACTGATCTAGGAGGATCTGAAGGTGGTAAACTGTTAACCATGTGCAGACTTTCTGCATCCAAGCCTATAGGAGGGCCCACCACTTGTGGCTGCACTGCACCAAACTCATGTTTGGTGATCGCAGTAGGTAGGGAGAGTGAGGGTGTTACCTAGACTCATGGACACCATGTTGAGGGCATTAACCAACATGTGCACAGAGAATGAAGAGACAAGAGGGGAAATCAACAAGAGTGAAACAAATTAAGAGAAGGCGTTATGGGACATGTTGCATGGGTGGCTTTGGGGCATGAGGTGAATGAGGAATCTGGTACTCAGAGTTATGGCTCAGGCAGCTGGGTGGGCAATGAGGCTATTTGCTGAAATGGGAAAAACCCAAGGTAGCAGTGAGGTTTGGGGAGTTGTTCTAGACTGGACTGGATGTGGCAAGTTTAGGAGGCCAACGACCTCTAGGAAGACTCCATTAGTTGTGGCTATATGGGCCCAGAGGTCAGAAAGAGGTCAGGACCCAAGATACTTGGAAGTCATTGGTGAAGAGCAAGTCAGAGTAAGCTGCACCTTGGGTAGTGCCCAGGAGCACCAACTTGTAAGACTGGGCCAAGGATGATGAGACACCCTTTTTTGCTTCCTTTCTTGGTTCTTGGGTCTTCCTTGCTGTTTCCTAGCTGTACACTCAGGCTGGTGACACCCCACAGATGGGTTCATCAGGCATGCCCTCCATGATGCCCTC